TTTTTTTTTTTTTTTTTTTACCTGACGATCACTAACCAAATACATTTAAATGCTAACTTTAATATCGTATTTCGACGTTATTTAAAAATTGTCATTATGACCAAGTTCTCAAATAGAACATTAAGAAATGATCTCTGCAATCCGTACTAAAGTTTTGTTCGTACAGAATGTCTGCAAATATACGAATATCTAATGAAACGAAAGAAACGATAGTAATTTTGGTAACGGAGTAACCAAAGGAACGAGACAGAGATACGAACGAGGAACTCGTTAAAATGACTAAACAAGTGACATTTTCACTCCTGAAAGGAAGAGGAGAAACATTTACCTTGGCCAGAAATTTGTAGTAAAGTTTCAATTTGTCGATTATTATTCAACATACGCACTAATTGTAAGACATGTGAGAACCGGATCGAGTTGCACTATGACACGTTGAAAACTACCTAGTATCTTTTACTAAAAGGAAATTCTGGATCTGCATTTGCGGCAAATTTGACTGCGTCTCGTTCTCCTTGCCTGTTACAATTTTCTATCTCTCAATTTCGTATGGGAAAGCGAATCCTGAACTAAACTGTTTTGTTCTTACAACTTTCCAAAGTAAACAGATCAAACAATATGAACAGCGTTTAATCTCAATGATCGTCCACATTTACAATTTTTCTATTTGTTTTGCCAATGTTTTTCCTTCATCTTCTGAAGGAAATCGCTTTCAATTCCTATAGCGCCTAAATAACGGTTAGAGATTTAGAAGAAATTGTTTACTCAGTAAAAGACATTAACAAAGACACGCGCCGTTAAAACGTACAAGTGTTTTCCCAGCGATTAGGAAAGACGTCAATTTTGGTTGGACTGTTGTTTGACCGAGTCTGTTTAGAGACGAATGACGGTGTTCACCGGAGTTCCCTAAGGACGATAGGAAGGTCCTTTATCCCCTTCGAGAGACCTCTTTGCGCTACCAGCTGCTGTTCTGCCAGGTGGTAAAAAGGAGAGCCACTACACAAAAAGGAAAGGTAGCCCGAGAAAGAACGAGAGAAGGAAACCTCGGAGAAGAAGAAAAGAGAAAGAGCGAATGTGTGTACATGTATAAAAGAGAACTGGAGGAACCAAGTAGTCGGGTTTCTCGGATCGGAGCGTTGAAACGAGATGGGGAAGAAGTTCGAGGGGGGAAAGTATAGAGGGCAAAAGTAAGAAAACGTGAGCGGCGAGAGAAGGACAGAGAAGGGGGAAAAAAGGGGAAAGGAACATAGCCGAAATGGTTTCTGAAAGAAGAGAGAAAGGGAAAGAAGAGGAGAGGGACTCTACCTCCAAAACACCTGGCAAGCATCGTCCTCTTAGTGGCGCCTCATGAGAGAATTTCTCTCTTTTTCTTCGGAACTTCTGGCCCATGGGAACCTCGAGCCACGATCCTCCAGGGACCACAAAGAGAACCGTTTCTTTTTTGCGACGCGTGTATAGATCGGAAACTATTTCTCAAGATAGATCGTACAGATAAACGATGCTGCGTTACGAATATGTATTTCTCGTTCCAGTTAATTCCACCGTTCCCCGCCGAGTGAAACGCGTTTTAATGAACATTCATCGTGCACGGATAAAAGCAAGGGTCTTCTGAAACGTACAGGTTTCTCAGAAGACTTCCACAGGAAACGCGAGTACCGATCCATGACGTCACATCCGCCGAATTAATTTTCCGCATCCACGCACGTGTGCCTCTTTTCCCATGCATCCGTGACTCGATTCGTTTGAAAAAAATACCGAACCAATGCCATCTGACTTTTCGCCGTTTCTCTCGTTGCTCTCTCGTTGCTTACGTTTACCTTTCCTCTGCTATATCCAGTCATTTATCCAGAGAAATCCCTCCCTGAAAGAAGAACACGAGAGAATCGTTGTTAATTTCGTGAAATTTTTTTTATGTTAAGTGTTCAAATACTTTCGTGAGTCGCTATAAATTTTTCAAGAAATTCATACGGGAATTTAAGCAAACGCTTAAACAATACTTCTTTTCACGTTCAAATCGCAAAATCAATTGGGAACCTGTCTGTACCAATCAATCGATGATTTACATACCAAGATCCTCCCCAAATTATACAAAAGTCAGGTATCGACATTTGCATGATTTTCGCAATCGACGATCAAACAACCGTTCGCATCGAACAAAAACAGATGCTTTCTCTGTGCATTGGCATGACGTATAAATTACCGCAATTAAAATATTGCGACGATGAGTCGATCTATTGAATCGGCAGAATCTCGAAGTTTTTTAATCACTAACCAGCAATGCCACGGACGTGCTAATTAGTCAGACGATGAGAATATCCGGATGCCATGAGAAAATCCTCATGAGCAAATCTCATGAGAACGCATACTCCCGTCCCAATGGCGAATCACAGCCGATAATTAAACGTAAATCGGAAATCGGTGAACGCATATTTATTCGCGTTGTAATACTCACGATTCCTCGCCACGATAAAACTCTCGCTGATGTTCTCATTGAAAACGACACGTCTCTTTACGCGACAATGAAATCTTAATCGCTTTCTTATACATTTACTTTGCAACAAACACTTACAGCTCACAAAAGTATTCGAGCATCTATCATGGATAATTGACTGCGTAAATATCTTTGTGAAATATCTCTGCTTGTCTCGAAAATTTACAAACCTTATCAATCAAAAGTGTGCTGATTTGAAGATCTTTCGTATAAAACGCCAACAGTATCATGTCGCTGTAGCTTTGTTCAGAATTTAATACGCTCGAGATCGTCAACCTGGCAGCCGATCTATTTCTCTATTCGTTACAATTCTTCACGTGGCTCCTTTTTTCGCGACATACAACATGCCACTTTATTACCGTTTCCTCTTTGCACGTGTTCATTTACAAAATACGCAACAAGCATGACGATGCTCGACCAATTATTTCGATTCATTAAGAGCAGGAAGGGGACTTCCCTTCAGCCTCTTATAAACTTTAGCGCCCAACCATAATCGGAATCCAACGGACCCAAACGCCTGCGGCCTCCCTTCTGATTGTCAGCGTCACGCCTGACGGTCTTTTTCTTTCCTCCGCGTGCAGTATGGCCTCAGGACATCGTTAATATATATCGATACTTTGCTGGATGTCATTAATATCGATCTTGAAAAATAAAAAGAAATTTATTGAAACATTATTATCACAGTTCTTAATCGCTTGAAACTGACTGAGGTTGAGGAGTTCAACAAAATTTTAAAGCGTTAATAAAATTAATATTCTAAAGTTCTAACAAATAGATGATTTACTCCCATAAGTTCGTTTTATTACGAGGTGAGGTAGCGTCATTTTCCTCTACTTATCAATTTCTCACAAACGTCTCGCATGTACGTCGAAGAACGAATCTCTGCGTAAAGTCAGTGCGATTACGTGACTTGTGGCTTTCGAACACCCTCTCTGTGTAAAGTGTAAAGGAGAAAGTGCAGAAGGTAAAGAGAAATGAATTGCGTCTGACAAACAGTTTTGCTCCGCGGACTCGAATATAAACACCTGGCGTTCAGGCTGACCTGATAAACTT